CTCGGTGGGTATCAATCTATTAAAATAACATCATCGATCAGAAGAAGTTCGTTACCATATAATGTCTCCTATGCTCTTAAAACTTCACATCAAAATTTATTAGATCAACAGGGTTGTTCACCACGTTCGACACGGAGTATTGTGGCTAAACGATTAGATTTTTAAAGGACTATTAGAGCTACAATTTAAAAATATTTTTACAAGATAGTGTCTCAAATAAATAAAAAATATCAAAGTTGAATTTTTTTTTAAACGGAACACCCGGTATATTATTACATTTTTAGTTTCTACGATTAAAATAAAGATAAATTTTACTTAAACCTTACCGTTTTTGAAATGTTTTCAATTTTGTAAAATTGCAGTAAAAATGTTAAGGCTTCATTTCTACAAGGGTATCAAAGTTTTTGATACTAAATATTTACTGAAGTTTATTTTTATTGATCGGTTATTGTGTTGCAATAATAAAAATAATACTATCTCATACAGAGTGTGTAAAAATTATTTTAAATAATTTCTAGTTTTAAACGGCAATAACTTGTTTAATTTAAATGGAACACCCTGTATATTTAAGAGAATCAGATGCACAATTTAATTGTCTATCAAATTGTGTTATACCATTTTTTACCTATCCCTTCAAGTTTTCGTAGAAAATTTTCTATAATTTAGACCTCATTTATCAATACACCCATGGAATACTGACATTTTAGATTGTTTTTAAAGCAACAAATGTACAAAATGTACAGGTGCTAAAAACGATAATATTACTAGCCTATTTGTATACAAAAAGAAACTATTTAAATCTTTATAAAAGGGTATATCTACCATTAATTAAATATTCCACCATTATTTATTCCGCCCAAATGTTAATTAATTACATACGTAATTGTGGTAGTTAATAAATTATTCTAAATAAATGTGAATTTGAATCAGAAATCAATATAATAATAAGTTATGAAAATGAACGTCTCTGTTGTTATAAATAAGCATACATCAAAAAATGAAATAAAATTTTTAAAGTGTTACTTTTTATCACACTGTCTAATACACATACAAAATTCAGTTTTTTAATATTTGGAGCAATTATTATCAATGTCAATCAACGCAAACAGTCAATTAATGTAGTTTGAATACTGGAATCATATTAATTGTTCCTCTTTAAAAAATATTTAAACAGTTTTTTTTTAATTTTTTAACCAAATAAAAGAACTATATCGACAATATTAGTATATGTACTTTTTAAAAATTTGTTACATCTTAATAAATAATCTAAAATGTCAATATTCCATGGGTATATTGATAAATGAGGTCCAAATTTTCTACAAAAAACGTGAAGAAATAAGTAGAAAATGGTATAATACTATTTGATAGACAGTTAAATTGTGCATCTGATTCTTATAAAATATACAGGGTGTTCCGCTTAAATAAAACAGATTATTGCCGTTTAAAGCTAGTAATTATTTAAACTAAATTTTTTAGACACTCTGTATAAGGTAGTATAATTTTTATTATTGCAACACAAAATTTAGTAAATAGAAAAATTTCAGTACAATATTTAGTTTTAAAAACTTAAATACGCCTAGAGAAATAAAGCATTAAAATTTTTATTACTGTATTTTGACAAAAACCTAAATATTTCAAAAACGGCAAGATTAAAATGAGGTAAACCTTAAACAAATTTACTTTTATTTTCATTGTAGAAACTAAAAATGTAATAATATACAGGGTGTTCCGTTAAAAAAATACAACTTTGATATTTTTTATTTATTTGGGATACTCTGCATCTAGTAAAAATATTTTTAAATTGTAGCTCTAATAGATCTTCAACGAATCCAAAACTTACAATTCTCAAAAATGTAATGGTTTAGCTACAATATTGCGTGTCGTATGTGGTGAACAAACCAGTATTGTGGTTTATAATAAATAAATTTAAAAAGAGTTACAGAATATTAACCAGTGGTCTTAAAGCATTGTTCAAACAATTTCAATGATTATTGAGTCGAGTATTTATTATTAATTCGAGCTTTATCATTGGGATCTCAGAAACTAAGAAGAGATACGAAATATGATATCAAGCTGATCAACGTGACTTTGAATGAGGTAGACAACAATTCAGTATTGAAACCATAAAATAATAAATACAAGAAGAAGTGTCAAGTCAATGTTAAATTATGGAAACAGCGTGGCTGCCTGGGTAACTAATTTTCATATATGGCGGCTGGGACATTTGACATGACATAGACATGACAGTTTCAATTTTATGAAATTTATTTCCGTTTCCGGTTTTTAATGGCGGGCTGTTCAGGAGGTTTAAATGAGGGTTAATATACTTTTTACTCTTTCTAGTAGTAAATAATACAACAAAATTACTCAAAAATATTTATTTGGAATTTAGAACAATGTAAATATGCAAATCAACACAATTAAAGAGCTATAAACCAATAAACTACTGTATCAATATCAAATATTTAAATAATATCAGAGATGCTGTGTTAAAGTGAATTAGTAAAGTAACAGTACATTGACTTACAGAAACTTGAAGATAAATAAATGTTTTCACAGCTTCACGGGCATAAAACTAAATAACTGGAAGCAGGAAAAAGGCTACCGGTACCCACACAAAACCTGGAATCAAAAAAAATATGTAAAAAACATAAATATAGGTACATAAGACTTTTGTGAATTAAATCAAACAGGACTTGAATGAAAATAAAATGAATAAAAAATATGATACATATACATCTAATACCTCATTTGTATTTTAAAAATAATCTACATACATGAAAACTACATTAAAAAACTACATTTAAAAATAATCTACATGCATTATTGCTATGAAAATACATAATAGGTACCTATGTGATATGTAATTACGCATTTCTGTTCATCTTGTAGAAAATTAATGTAGGCTAATAATAGTTCAATAATCATAATTTACCTTGTATAACTTGCTTTCAATTGCTCAAAATCACCGATCAGTCTTTAAAGTAGAGATACGGAAAAGTCCTTGGCAAAGAATATCCCAAGGTTCCTTGGGTTTAAAGCTAAAAAAATATAAAAACAGTTTATATATTACCTATTTTTACATATAATATGGCCCATACCTACTACACGCAGAAACGTCGATTTCATCATTTTCTTCATGTAATTAATATCATATATACTTTATTAAAGTGTTAACAAGGAACTTTATATCAAAAAAACATACTTATAAATTTCAGCCGAAATATCAGAAACAAACTTCCAATCAAATCTAAACGGCAAAAATTAAAATGGCGCCCGACCTTGCCAGAGGCCTCGGGAGCTGACGCTGACACACAGACAAAAGACAAAAGAACAGGACGCCGACGTGCATAAAAATGTTCCGTCGCAGAAATTGACAGAAATCATATAGAAATATTCAGATTTTTGTCTAGGACAGTCTAGAAGGCCATGCTTTCTGCCTGGGTAGAACCGCGCCACAACTGTTTCCAATTTTCCGGTTTACTGTCACCCCCCTGATTGAAACTAAAATAATTTCGGACTTCTATTGTCTTTATTTATTTTTTCCATAGCAACTGTTAAAATTGCCTTATATCTATCAAAAATAGTAGATAAAATAGTACTTTAACCGCAAGGATAGATTAAATGATACTTTACCAGCGAGGATAGGTTAAAAACTTTATTTCTTCTCGCATGTTTTTTAATTACTTCTATTTTTGAAAATTTTTTGTATTACCTTTCATAAGTTATTCGGGATTTAAATGGAAGTAGTTTGGATATGGCGTTTGTCGCCTCAGCCTGAATATCGGTTGTTAATTTACTTATTTCGTTTTGAGCTATTCAATCGCCAATCGACACGAAAGAGAATTAAAAAATATTGACTCAAAACTGACAACTAAAAAGACAGCTTTATTTATTTGTCAAATTACATACCCAAGCAGCATTTGGACGTCGGAACAACGTTGTGTCACGCGACCAAACGTCGGGGCGCAACGTCGGGACAACCTCGTGCCAACCCTAGTCTGCACTAGTTTGGAGAATAATTTTTGGGTCGAAACGACGTTCGATACCGACGTTGGCTAGAAGCCTAATTTAGTACAAACTGCAACGTTGTTAAAAATCCTAATTCACAGAAATACAAAACTAATATGGCGTCTAAGTCGCGTTTTATCCTAAATTGGGATAATTATAGTAAAAATATTATTTTTATGATTTAGTTAGAAACATATGTCAGATGGCAGTGAAGGAAAACAAAACAAAAGTATTTAAGTGTGGAGGATGTTTGAAGATCATAATTATTGAAACACTTTAACCGACTCTGTAACTCAATACCCAAGGCAAAAAAGTTAAACGCAAACAAATTTATTGATAAATGTATTGATTCTACTTTGAAAAATACTCATGGGCCTTAAAATTAAAGAAGTTTTAAAAATTTTCTTGAATTTTTTTTTAGTAAAATGAGAATAATTTATTCGCAGTCGAAAAAATTGTTTCCGCGTTTTTTTTAGGATCAAATATTTCAAGTTAAAGTATTCAAAAAGCAGGAATTGCTATTTTAGGAACGAAACATTTTCTTATTTAACAACATGGCGACTTTCACATTGTTGTTTTGGAGATTAAGATAGAGTAGTTCGAGTAGTCGCATACTGGACTATAATAACTACTTGAAATAATAATTTCTGAATATTTTTTAAAACGTAACTCGCTATGGAAAAAAATATTGTTTTATACACGACGATAAAATTGCTTTATCGTCTCCCGAAATTAATTCATTCGCGATTTCATCGCTCGTGAATTAATCTTTTCGGTCTACGATAAAATACCATTTTATCGTCTTGTATAAAAAGTAACTATTTTTGATTAAAACAACATTACATTTTTTTTTACGAAAAAGAAATTCACAGACGTGCTTCTGGGGTCGAATTATAATTAGTATTATACTACCGCAAAAAATAGTTGCACTTATTTAAGACTCACTCTGTATAGATTATGTTAATATTTGTTTTGTTTTATTATTTCAGATTTCGATACGTACCCTTTTCCGCAGATTCCTGGTGATCGTACTTTCTGTGTGTCATTCGACAAAATGGCGATAGCTTTCTGCATTTTGGGCATTATTTTCTTGGCAGCCATCATAGTAGCCGCTTGTTCCTTACTGAAAGCTAGAAGATCTCATCATGGGACACAATTTTACACCAGGCAAGTACCGTATGATCGAAAAAAAAACGGCGTCTGGTTGGATTTGAAACCACGATCGGTGACAATCCCCATAAAATTTTACATATAAAATGACCGCGATTTTCATGTACAAGCCATCTCCGACGGCTTTTTTTTTTGATCATGTGAACGATTTGTATGATGAATAAAAATAGGTTTAAAACTAAAATAAGACTATTGAAAAGCTGTGTGTCCCGAAGATCATTAAACGTGATAATATTTTTGTATTCTACAAACTATTCAATATTTACAATCTATACAGATTTTTTTCAGTATCAATGTTTTTTTTTTGCAAGTTTATGTTGCGTAGCTTTTAAAAAATGCTTGACTCTAATTAAGTTTTGACAATAAACTGTCAAGTATTATACAAGGCGCTCATAAAAAAGTTCCTTTTTTTCAGTTTATTTGCCTTCAAAAATAAAGAATTAAAAGAAAAAAAATAATATATAAAGTATAGAAATAAAGTTTCCAATACCTATATACAGGGTGCGGCATTAGTGCGTCGGGCATGTGTAGCACCTAGAATAAAAAAACTTTTTACTTTTAAACGGATTTTTTTAACTCTAATGGAATTTTGTTTAAGTGTAAACATAAAGTATGAGGATGTATTTCAACAAAATACTTTAACATCTATAGGATGGCTCAAAAAAGTGTGACTGGTTCGGCATTATTTTTTTTAAATTAAACACCCTATATATCATTGCATTTTTGACTTCCTTTCAGATCACTTTACATAATCCTAAGATATGAGTAAATATATTTCGCTAATTTCAGAGATATTAATAAATAAATAAAAATACCTAATTTTCTACCTTCCTTAACAAATTATTACAAATACAAGATCTGTCCTGAAATAAAAACTGTATTAGGTATTTTTAGATGGTCTATATTTACTTTGCTATAAATATCGCAACTTAAATCATACAGGGTGTTCAAAATTCTACGTCAAACTTTCTAAAATATAAAATAATTTTTCTTGTTTTTTTTTTAAATGGAACACCCTGTATATTATTTTTTATTAGATGTAGAGTTAAAAAATGATTTTTTTTGTATTTAAAATATTTCAAAAATTTTAATGGTTTCGTAGATACACGCAGTATTTTCTTACGGCTCATTCAACGGTAAAAAAACAGCGAAAAATCATTGGGTTGCTTTGGTAAAAATTTACTGTGGAAAATGCCATATGAAATATAAAACAGCGAATATCTGCGAAACCGTCAAAAATTTAAAATACTGTAATATAAAAATTGTTCATTTTTTAATTCTCAATCTATTGAAAAAAATATAGAATGTGTGTGAATGTTCTATTTAAAAAAACCAAGAAAATTTATTTTATATTTTAGAAAGTTTGCCGTAAAATTTTGAACGTCCTGTATAATTTACAAATACCATATTTATAGTACTAATAAGTACAGATCATCTAAAGTAAATACCTAATATAGTTTTGATTTCAGAACAGTTCTTGTATTTTTAATAATTTTTTCAAGAAAGGCTGAAAAATATATCTTTTCTATTTATTTATCAATATCTCTGAAAGTATCGAAATATATTTACTTATATTTTAGAATTGTGTAAAGTGATTTGAAAGGAAACCGAAAATGCAATAATATACAGGGTGTTCTATTTAAAAAAAATCATCCCGATCCACTCACACTTTATTGAGCCACCCTATAGAAGTTAAAATATTTTCCTCAAAGACATCCTAGTACGTACTTTAAATATTAAAAAAAAATATGTTTTTCTTTAGGAGCCTGTTCTCAAGCAGCAGTGGGGGATCAGCTTTTGGAAGCAAATTACTGATTCAAGACAGTCCAATTTTCGGACAGTCTTCGTCTTCTACTTCTAACAGGATGCAATATGGAAGGATCCTATAAACTCTCCGACTTTTTCTAAGACTGAATATTATTAGCTTAAGTTCCATTTCATTTATTTTTAGAATTTCTAAATTGAAACATTTCTTTAATACAGGGTGGTCCGAATTGTATTCCGGAAACTTCGGCAGCATATTCTGCAGATTAAAATAAGTAAAAAAGTTCGTATAAATATATGTCCTAAAATCCTTAGTTTTGGAGATACAGGGTGTAGAAATTTCATTTTTATTTCGATTTTTTCCAAATAATTTCTGAAGTAAAGTCAATATTTGAATAAAAATTGGTATCTGGGAGTTTTTATACATGAGAAATTTGATTTTCATGTCAATATGACTTCTACTTATAGAGGGCGCCACCTACATATTTGTTAACTGGTTTGAAGTGTAATAACTTTTCGTCCATACCTGTATAAAACTACTGAGTAAAAAAATATACAATAACGACTGTTTTTACATAAAAAATGTCTCTTGGTAAAAATCGCTGCGAGTAATGGTTCTGGAGATATTTGAAATCAAAAATATCAATACCTGTCATCATTGACATAAATTAAACATGTTGACTAAATAGTAATTAGACTGAAACCACAAATTTGAAATCTTTTTGGGCCAAGAGTTCAACAGGAACTGTTTAATCATCATTTTTTCGCAGAAAAATTAATGATTAATTTACAAAAATAAAAATGTATTATTTCAGTCAAATAACTATACTCAACGCGTGCTTATTTTTTGTCAATTATGACATGTATTGATTATTTTCATTCTAAATATCTTCCGAACGGTTGCTCATAGCGATTTTTACCAAGAGACATTTTTTACGTAAAAAGTCATGGAAATATATATTTTTTCAGTCACTAGATTTATACAGGTACGGACGAAAAGTTTTTACTCTTCAAAACAGTTTAAACACGTGTAGGTGGCGCCCTCTACAAATAAGAGTCATTTTGACATCAAAATCAAATTTCTCGTGTCACAAAACTCCCAGATACCAATTTTCATCCAAATATTGACGTAACTTCAGAAATTATTTGGAAAAAATCAAAATAAAAATGAAACTTCTACACCCTGTATCTCCGAAACTAAGCATTTTAGGACATACATTTATATGAACTTTTTTACTTAGTTTTATCTGCAGAATACGCAGCCGAAGTTTCCGGAATACAGTTAAGACCACCCTGTATATATTATGCTCAATAGTCGAATAGAAATATACAAATCTAGTTTTGAGCAAGAAATATTTCCCAAACCCGAAAAATTAATTTTATTCGATTATTTTTTTTGCTTATAGTGTGATTTGATTGCATTGGTTTCACTCTTTTTGGTTGGATTGGTTTAGTTATTTGGCGAGATGGTTAGCGTGGTTATTTGGAGGGTGTTAATTCATTGGTTAGTTGGTTTTTCGGGTTTGGGAAATATTCCTTGGTCAAAACCAGATTTGCGTATTTTTTTCGGGCGTTGCCCGAATTCGACTATTAAGCGTAACATATACATACATCTAGGTGTATCTCAAAAAATTGTATATTTTTTCAAATATATCGCCAGTGAACTAGACTCATATTTGTACTGACTCATAAGTAATTATGCGTACATTATATCTTAAAAAATAGTACAAAAATCATAAAAATTACTTTGTATAATTTTAAGGTTATAAATCATTATTTTTAAGTGGGTTGTGATCGAAGCACAATTAAAGAGCTAAACTAAGGTCACTTTCTGACCTTAATTTAGCTGAAAAAAGTTGTTGGAGGGGTACATTTTTGAGTTTAATATTGTTTGATGTACGTCGACCGACATATTCTTGGTTGCGGGTTTTAATAAAATAGTTTTGTATCATTTGTTGTTTTATTTTTTAAGTTCGTTTGGCTTTTATTCTTTTTGTTTGTATATTTAAATCTAGAAACAAAGGATGTTATCGTGGGCACTGTAATAAAAAAAAAACGAAATTATTGCAAAAAATCTACACTAAGATTAGCCATGAAAACTTGATTACAATATGACTACCCGTAGACACTTGTGTTTCTGCCCTTCCGGCTTCATTAATACGGGAGGAATCAGCAACGATGAGCTAGTGATCCTGAAAAAAAGGGGAAATTTTATTCTATGTATATCAATTCTATTTCAAAATATTAGTATTTATTTTTTCTAAAACATAAAATTAATATTATTTTAATTGTATTATAACTGTTTTATATTTTATACAGCTTAAAGCTCAGCTAGAAAACAGAATTACCGTATTATAATATATCTAATAAATGAGAAATATATTTTTAAAAACATATCTAAGTGGAAACAACTACAGAAAAACTGCATTACTGATTGTAAACTCAAGTTGAAAGAAAATTAAAAAAAAAAGGTTACTTTTCTACGCGGCTGTTGATGTCTCCATATATTTTTAAATGATTTCTATACTACTCTAGTTGTTCGACGTTCTTATAAAATTTACAAGTTTAATACTAGTGATTTTTTATTTTCTTCTCTCCTGACAAACTAATAAATGTGAAAGTAAAACCTCTGACGAGGGGTAGGGGCCTCAAAAAACTCAAAATCTTTTAAGATGTTTATTTCAAATTTAATTTGCTTCAAAAAAAGAAGGGGATTGAAAATTCAAAATTGAATGAGTTTTAACAACGTAACTATTTTAATTCTTCCGAGTGGTATGACTTCATGGTGTGACTTTTGTCTTTCTGGGCCTGAAGATGGGAATTATGGGAAGTCCCGAAACATGTCGCTTTGTTATTTTTTACTTTGATATGTACTCACACTGGGTTAGAGAAAGTTTAGTAATAAATGTGAGTTATGCCACTACGTGAGTCTCACAACAGTGAAAAATTGAATTTACTTTGAAAATTTCCTGTTTGAATGTTTCTGTCTTCACTACAACAAACGATTGACGGCTGTAAAGACCTCGAGTCATAAGTGTGTAGGCAAGAGGTTTGTACTGTTTTTTTATAGGACTAGTTTCTGGATGCTCTTTTTGAGGGTAACGGGTGGATCCATAGGCTGTGTAGCCAAAAAAAAATTGCAGTGTAAATTTTGTTAAACATATTTCCGAATGCTAAACATGCCAGCTCTTTTCCATATAGAATCTAGCATAACTAGTTTTTCGCTGTTTTTTCTTCTAAATCTTACTGAAATTTAGGTTTTTTTTCTCACAACAGAGTCTCGCATGCGCATTAAAAGTTTTTTAATGTTTTTCCAAAATAATCACAATTTTATACGGTTTAAAAAGTACCGTATAATCGAGAAGAAACGGCGTCCAGATGGCTTGGAAATGACGATCGATGACATTTCCCATATAATCTATACTAATACAATAAAATCTTTAAGTGACTGATATACTGATTAATCACGATCCTGCTCAAACCACTCAACGTAAGAAGCTCAATTTTGGCATACAGGTTGATTCTAGGGTGTAGAGGTTCGATAAGAAGGGATTTTTCGAAGTTCCAGTTCCAAGAGGGTGAAACCATCCCTCAAATATTACCATATTTTTTATTTAAAAAACGGTGAAGTTTCCGAAAAAACGCTTAAACACGTATATTTTATTTTGTTTTTTTTACATATTTTAAAATTTTTTAAAAATGCATACAGGGTGTTTCGAAAAATCTGGTCATTGGTTAATGACGATCCTGCTTAAAGCGCTTGATGTAAAAAGCTGATTTTTGGAAAACAGATTGACTTTAGGGTGTAGAGGTTCGATAAGAAGAAATTTTTCGAAACTCGAATTCTAAGGGGGTGAAACTATCCCTCAAATATTAAAATATTTTTTATATAAAAACTGGTGAGTCTTTCGGAAAAACTCTTAAACACGTATATTTTATTTTATTGTTTTATATATTTTAAGATTTTTTATAAATTTATACAGGGTGTTTCATAAAATATGACCATTGAGTAATCACGATTCTGCTTAAACTGCTTGACGTTTAAAGCTGATTTTTGGCAAACGGATTGACTGTGGGGTGTAGAGGTTCGATAAGGAGGGGTTTCTCGAATCTCAAATTCCAAGAGGGTGAAAACGCCCCTCAAATATTACAATATTTGTTATTTAAAAAACGGTTAGTCTTTCGGGAAAACGCTTGGACAAGCATAATTTATTTGGTTTTTTTACATCTTTTGAAATTTTTTAAAAAATCATACAAGGTAACAATCATATATTGTATATAATCTAGATATATATTTTTTGACGACTATTTAAATATTCCTAAAAACCTGCAACCGCAGAACAATAACAAACTCCGAAATTGAACAAACCAATTATCAGAGAAATTAGAAATTTCTGTTTCAGAACCCGTTAGTCAACATTGAATCGAGTAGCAATACTGGAAAAAGATGCCAAAAAACGACGCCAACGAAAACCTAATCCAGGGCACAGTGTTGCAGAAAATACCGGATACGGACAGTAAAACCTAACTGTTTCAATTAATAAAGCGATATTTAATTGTGGGATATCGTGACGTAGTGCCGGTACTCGGACAATCCCATTCCGTACGCCAAACGACTCTTTGTTCGGCGATTAATTGTTCTTAACCTTACCGGGGTGCTTAGATATAACTACAAAAAATCTATTTTTTTTATTAGTCAATTCGCGAATTAACCGGTTAAAATGCGAATTTTCCATCACAGTCGGTTAAAGCTAAAAGAAACAAATATATTTTAAAAATAAACAAATTTGCCTTACAAAGAAAAAAATGCTTAACGTTTCGGAAAGTTATCTCTTTCCGTCGTCGGAAGCAACAAAATACAAAGAATAAAGAAAAAAACTATTTAAAATATTTAAATTCAACTATTCGGGAACACTTTACTTTTTTAAAACAGATACGTCTACAAGAAACTGTCGACGTTCTGTGAAAAAAAAAATGAATATATATATTTTTTAAGTAAAGTGTTCTCGAATAGTTGAATTTAAATATTTTAAATAGTTTTTTTCTTTATTCTTTGTATTTTGTTGCTTCCGACGACGGAAAGAGATAACTTTCCGAAACGTTAAGCATTTTTTTCTTTGTTAGGCAAATTCGTATTACTGTAAACATAACTTCTGAGAAGCAGCGTCCGTTTAGGTTTAGCGCCAGAAGTGTTTACAAAAAATAACTATTTTATTTTGTAGATTTGCAGTGCAGT